ATTATTCTTTTAAGGTACTGATTTGACTTTTTTCACACACTCTTCTAAATAATTTTTATTTTTAATTTAGGTTTGAATAAACAAACACACGAACAAAAGCAAAGCCGATCAGAATGACTGGAATTTTGGCAAAACTAGATATATATATAAAAAATAATTTTTGGAAGACTGATCTTTCCACAACCCTACATCTTCCAACCTAAGAGCATGGTATACATTAATGCATTCTGCTGTTATTTTAACATTCATTAGTAACATTTTATAATTTTCCTTCATATTGATCTTATATATTGCTTGTTATTTCTAGATACTTACAGTATGTTGTAATAAATAAAACTTTTATTCCACCATATTGTCTAATATGATTAAGAGAAAATTGAATTTCTTTGAACATTTGTATTCAACCATTTTACTTAACTCTTTTATTGGATATTTATTCACCTAATCAATCAATGTACTGAATGCCTAGCACATGCTGGGCATTTTTCTATGTGGGGGTGGGGGGAGATATAATCAGGCACCTCACAAATGTTATTAGAAAATACCTTTTGCTGTAACCCCTCCTCCCCCCTATAGCTTTGAAGTGAATGAAGCTTTTGTTTTTCATACATAATGTGCAGTCCAGAGCAGGCAGTTCAGGGCTATTTTAGTGACTCCACAATGTCAAGGTGGATTCACGAATTTTCATTCTGTTCAGCAGGCACTGTCTGACCTCTGGCTCTCCCAGCCAGCATTCTCTCTGCAGTCCGAGCAGGAAGGAGGGCAAGGGCAAAGGACAAGAGAAGCGTGAGAGCCGAGCCTGACCGCCGCATCTTTCCAGCTTTCCTGGAATCCCATCCTATGACTTCTGCTTATAGTCACTGGCCAGAACTGTATCACATGGCCACATCCACATCCAGAGTTACATTACTGCTCTCCTCAAATCGGAATTCCCTTACTAAGGAAGACAGGGAGAATTCCGAATACGCCCTGCCATGAAAGAAAAAGTCCCTGCCCTTACAGAGATGTTCAAACCATCTATAGCTGAGTGCCTTGACTTTTTCAACAACTCAGTCCTTCCTGAAATCCCTTCTCTGCTTAATTTCCTACTCATTTCATTGGTGATCTTATTCAGTCTCACGACTGCAAGTACAGTCACATGCCGGTGACCTCCAATTTACATTTCCAGCACCGTCCTCTCTGCTGAGCTTCAGATTGAAATAGCCGACTGTCTACTTGACATCTCCACTTGGATATCTAATGCTTATCTCAATGTAACCTGTCCATAATGAACTCCTTCGCCAAAACTGCCCTGCCGCCGCCTTCCTTCCCCATGTCAGCAGATAACAATTTCATCCATCTGCTTGCTTAGGCCGAAGACATCCTAAGACTCCTGTCTGTCTCACATCTTACATCCAATACACCAGGAAATACTGTGTGGCTCCACCTTCACCTTCCAGCTATATCCATAAACACACCACTTCTCACTGTTTTAATCGCTATCATTCTGGTCCAAGCCACCATTATTTTATGCCCACGTTTCTGTGACAGCCTCCTAAAACCATTATCCACATGATAACCCTTCCTTAAACTCAGTTCCCTGACGTCCACTTCTCTAATGATCTTATCTTTGTCCCCAACCTCTGCTACTTATTCCCGTGATTCCCGCTCCTTACCCTTTGTAATTACCCAAACTGCAATCCCCCAAAACAGTAGTTTCGAAGTATCCTACTCATGACAACTACTCTTTTCCACCCATTATGTCCTCTATTAATCCCACTCTAACATTCCTCCAACTCCATGATGACCTACAAGCCATTAATCCTATACTTTTTCTCTGCCTCGTCCCACTCTTCTTACACTGTTACTCTTCTTCCTACTGAGCTTAATTTCCATGGTCAATACATTCTTTGTCCACATGTCCTCAACTTCTCTGCCCTTCTATAGTGCATTCATTTGGCAAATTCCCAAACCTCATCTATCTCTTTACATCATCAGGTCCTGTGCCCACACAGTTGATGTGGCTGAAGAAAATACATAACTGATCCTACAGTCAATTGATCACTAACCTGAAGTGAACATTTAACACTGTAAACTACTGAATATATTCTATCTCCCTAGACTTTTCACTCTCATCCTTTTCTTACTTGTTCCTTTCTTCTCAAACTTCCAACTCTCTCTCTTCCGAACTTTAGTCTAATTTGGTGACGTTCCTTTATATTCCAAAGTGAAAAAAAAGAAGCAATACAACAAGACCTTTCATGAGCTCCCAATACTGTATCTCCCTACCTACATCTGTGCCCATATATTCAATCATCCCTCTTGTTACAATGAACTCTTTGTATTCCTATCTTAGACCAATCTCTTGCGCATTAGATTCCACCTGAACTCTAGATCTACTCAGGGAAATCATCTCAGTAACTCTCCTGTATCAAATTTTCATATTTTATTGGATCATTTCCATTTGTGTATACTACTAGTTTTACACACACACACACACACACAGTCTCTGGACTCCTTTTTCCTCTTCCAGCCTCTGTGCTATTTCTCTTCCTTTACAGCCAGAGCCCCTGAAAAAATGGCCTGTAGTCACCGTCTCCAAACGACCTCCTCCTACTCTCTTAAACCTCCTCCAATAAGCTTCTCACCACCATTTATGAAAATTCTTGTTAATATCAACAAAACAATTGTCCTAGTTAGCTTCTGGTCATCATTTACATCTCACTCAAAACCCACTGAAACATTTTTCTAATAGGTCAATCTGTCTGTTAAATGCTGTCACCATTATATCACTTACATGGTTGTAATTTTATATTTTTATGTGACTCTTTGATTAACGGTACTTTTTTCCTCAATAGATTCTAAGCTTCATAAAGGCAGGAATAATGCCCATTTTTCTAAACTTGGGAAAAGGAGGCCCAGAGAAGTATAAAGATATCAGCTCAAAGGCACACCATGGATTATTGACAGAATAGAGATTAGGATTAGTTGAATATACTGACCGCCAAGCACCATGGTACATTCTGGGGTTAAGAGATGAATCAGACATGCCCCTCTTCTCCTAGAGTAGACCTTATAGAATCTCCACCATGTCAGGCTTTACACACACACACACACACATAAAAATACATATATAATCTCAAATCATTATGCTGTATACCTAGAACTAGTAAAATGGTATGTGAGGTCTGTCCAGATAGTATCCAGCCATGTACTATGAAAAAGACATTTATTGAAAAAGATACAAGAAACAAGGAACATTGTACATAGGACAATGATGCTTCAGTCCTCTTCAAAGCAGGCATCTTGGGACCTCATACAGTTTTCCCAATCACCATCAGCTGCCCCACTGTATTTTCCTGAATCTCATCAACGGTCTGAAATCTCTTCCCTTTCAAAGGTGATTTTAGTTTTGGGAAAAGCCAGAAGTTGCAGGGCACCAAATCTGGGCTATAGCGGGGCTGAGTCACCTGGGTGATTTTGATGTTTCACCAAAAAACTCTGCATGAGACGTGATGCATGAATGGGCACACTGTCGTGATGAAGCTGCCAATCACCAGTTGCCCATAGCTGTGGCCTTCTGAATCAAGGGGATAGTTTCTGCAGAGGAATGTTAAAGATTAATGCAAAATATGATGCAGATCTGTTGTTCTACTTGCTCAGTCATTTTGAATGCAACAGCCACAAAGTACACATGCTCACTCAACAACATCTACTGCCCCCACGGACTAGTACAGTGAAGTCGTCATTGTTCAACATGCATATTCCAGTCCATTCTCCTTGGCTGCCAGGTTACATCAATGTTGTACAAACCGTTCTTGTAATATTAACAATGGTTGGACTTTTTCTAGACAGACCTCATATGTCAATTATATCTCAATTTAAAAATAGCATTTATTTGAAATTACATTGCAGGCTTCAAGATAGAACTCTTCAGGTTTATATCACTCACTCATCACTGACCTACAAGTTATGAAACAGGAAAAACATTGGGAGGAGTGAGTAGGACAATCAACTTAAAGTTACAACGTTAAGACTCACTGTTAGTTGAACACTAGCAAGCAAGAAAGAAAAAGCATTTCAGAAATGAAATTGCTAGGAAAACAGAACTTGAATAATAAAACTTTTGAGGAATCTACAGCATTAAAAAGATCTATGTCCAACAGCTGGAAAGCTTCATATAGTTTTTAATTTAATTTTTAAAACATATTTTATTGATTATGCTAGTACAGTTGGTCCCAACTTCTCCCTCTTCCCCCTCCTCCACCCAGTACCCTCCATTTCCTCCAGCAACCCTCCCCCATCCTTAGTTCATGTCCATGGGTCATGCACATAAGTTCTTTGGTTATTTTATTTCCTATAGTGTTCTTAATATTCTCGTCTATTCCGTAACTACCAATTTGTGCTTCTTAATCCTTGCACCCCCCCTTCCCCATTCTCCCTTTTCCTTCTCCCAGGAGAGCAAACCATCAAGCAGAATTGTCAATAAACACAGCCCAATTTACCACTTTGTAAGTGCCTTACTACTAAGGTGGTCATAGGATTTATTATTCAAAATGGGGTGCTTTGGAAATAAAAAGAAGCGCTATTAAAAATTATGCCAGGACACTAAGTGTTTACCAGGACTGTCCCAGGCAAAAAAGCAGGATCCATCTTTGTCTTAGTAACCATCCTCCACTCACTACACACAGAGAAAACCCTAACTCACTGACCCCACTCATTAAGTGAACCACAGCAGCCTGAATGGACAAGACACCAATCCAGCCTGGGCTCTATGTATATCATTTTGACCCTGAGTGGGCATGCTAATACTTACCACCTCCACTGAATGAAACTAGAGTCCCTTGCTTTATCTACTGTTTGTCTTGCCCTTTCACATGTGATCGCTATTCAATCTTTAGGAAGATCACTTCTATTCCATTCTGAAGTTTAATTCTCATGCTTAAGAGAGAATATAGCCTTCCATGCTAAATCAAAGAGAAAGTTATTCTCCAAATTTCCAGAGGCTCCCTTCTTCCCGCAAAGCACAGCTGATTTATATAAAACTTGTACAGGTGTGTGCCACACCTCCTTCGATCAAAATGACCTGCAGGTCACTCACTGAAACATCATAGCAAAAACAATGTCACTAGCCACAAAACTTTATTGACGTGATCAATACATACAGCCTTCTGAGAAATGTTTTGAGCCATCCACTTGAGGGTTACAAACACATCAGGGTCTGTTTTACTGATATATTTTTGCTTGGCTTGGCAAGGGAAAATCATGAATCAAATCTAAAAGGTCTGATTTTAAAAAATATATAAAAAGGAAGAATTAAACACTATAAATCAAGTCAGGAAGATAATTCCATACAAGTCCAGCAAGGCAAATGGGCAAGTAGCAGTGAAATAATCTCTTATACAAAAGTCAAAAGGAGTCAAAGGTGAGTTACAAAAAATAACATTTTGGTCAGAAAATCATTACTACATAAAGCCACATAAGGATGCCTATTAGTTGTTTTCTTTAAAGAAAAAAGATACCAAATTATTAGTTTTCTATTTATTCAGAAAGGAAAATTAGGCAAGTGTTTGGAAAATACTTCTGATATCAAGTGCCTTCGTTCTCATCTTCTATCCAACAGAAGGTCACAAACATCTGGCTTATTCTTGCCCACCTGTAGAGACAAGGAAATAACGTGTCTGGCCGCTATGGGGCACTTACAGCACCCGGATGAGGTCCAGGGTAATCCTGGATCGGGGCACATCGATGTTGAGCACTTGGACTTCCACTCTTTCTCCGGGGCCAAGTCCCAGGCTCCTTCTCTTCTTCGTTTTAGACAGTTTGGCTTCTGTTATATTTCGTATGGGGATCAGCCCTGCTGTCCCCACTCCTATATCCACAAAAATCCCAAACAAGGTGGCATTCTCCACTTTGCCTGTAAGAACTGTCCCGACCTGCAGATCTTTCAAGCAGACTATGCTTCTCTTAAAATCGGGTTTAACAAAATCTACAAGGAAAGGGGGGAAAAAAAGAGACTTAGTGGAAATAATAAGGTACTGTACTTCCCAGACACGGCATAACCGAGAGTATGTATTCACTGCATCTCACTCACGTGCCCAGACCAGGATCAAGCATTCAAGGGGCGCACGAAGGAGCTGAAGACACAGGCCTGCCTTCAGAGGACGTGCATCCTTGTTGGAGAGCCAGCATTTTCACAGTAAAAACAACTTAAGAAAATTTACTCACTTCTCCTTAAACTCTATCTCACTAACATGTGCACATTAGCGCTATATTAAGGACTGACTCTTATTTGCTTCTTTACGAGGAGATGACTAGAAAATGTTTGTCCAATGAATACAAGGCTAAATCAGGCTAAACCGCTGAGAGAGTACGACCCTTGGAGATAGAAGATTGGGAGATTTTACCCAGTGCCTGGATTCTCAAACTTTTTAAAGCTGGTAGAAAGTACATCAACATTTGGTCAAATGTGGATGAAATTCAAATGTTCTCTGATCTCACTTCTTCCCACCAATTCGGAGCTCAGGAATTCATTTCTATCCATTTTGAATATATTCAATCAAAATTTATGGATTCTTGATGATCTATGGCTCAGAAACCAAGATCAGCTAGTACCTAGTCTTTCTTCTTCTAATTCAAGTCATCAAACAGTTGCTGATTCCTACTATCGTCCCCTGGCCAGGCACTGCCGGCTGCTAGAGATGCAAAGGTGAAGACACGTGGCTCTCTGTTCTCAAGCTCCTCACAGCCCTCTTTCCCTTCTCTGTTCTTGAACACTATCCCCCAAATGGGGGGCATAAAGCATGCCAAGGAATCATTTCGGCTCTAGTTAAAACAAAACAAAAACAAAGGTTTTATGAGGGAGAAGGTTAGAACTAACAGTTTAAGTGGGGCTCTTGGATTATCTCTGGCTTCCAAGAATCCTTGCTCCTCTCCGCCCCCTTCCCTAGGATTACTGAATGTTGATTCTAGTAACAAAGAACACATTCTATGCTTGGATCTCCTTTTACTAAGACCTCATTTTCCCCTCCACCCATCCATTTCCTTTTCCTCCACAGCTGTTGGCTTTATCCTGATTACTTGCTGAAGCTATCCTTTACATTTGTATTAACAACTGGTCACCTCTCTGTTCCCCTTCCCCAGCCCAACCACACTGAAATCAAGATTTTTTACAAACTCACCTTTTTCCTGTAAAACAAAACAAAAGCCCTCTTTAAACCTCAAATCTCATTTTCCTCATAAAGTAGGAATATGCTAACACTGGAACTGATTCTGTAGAATTTCACCTGACGCCAAAGCAGTGCATTCCAAAAGCAAGAAACTTACTGTAATGTAACAGTACACCCGGCAATGACTATGTCAAAGCAAAGAAACTAAGTCATTGATCAGGGTGAGAGGTAGGATGGTCTCCGAGGCCCCATAAGAATTGTTTTTATGCTTGGAAACTATCCTCCCCACTTTTTCCTGTAGAGGCCCCGCTGGTACAGATTCCCCAACGGTTCCTGATTAGCTGCATTGTTCAATTTTACGTGGACAATCGGAGTCAGGATCTAACTACTTAATGTTCCTGAAGGCAGTCTGGGCCACTGACAAACCAGAAAATCCACCAGGTACCAGGCAGACTTTACCATTTTGTTTGGGAAGGGACATATCCAGTCCTCTGTCACCAGGCTGCTTATGACGAACCCAATTATGGAAATTAAGTGGCAAGCAGGTGTTAGTAAAACAGAACTATGTCACTGAGAGAACAGAAGCCAGGATGAAAGTACAAATAAGGCACCAGGAGGGGAAATGCTTTTGAGAAAATGGAAAAAAGAAATGTGACATAAGCAATGTAGTGCAGAAACAGCCAAAATACTATCTAGCCCTTCAAAAGTCAGACTGTCTGCTTTCCTCCTTGGGGATGTTTCAAGTATTAAAATGAAAAGTTCTCAAACACCTTGAAAACTGACTTACACTAGGGCATAGGTCAGTTGCAAAGTGTGTTCAAAGAGACCTATTTGAAATGTCACTTGTCACAATAATAAAAACTGCAATAACTAGTAAGCTCAGTGCAAGAGCCCATGCGTATCTGGTTTCGGCTCAACAAGGGGCATCACCAGATGAGGGTTGCTACTTAGTTACTTGTTATTTTATTGAGAGTTGATATACGTCCTGAGTCTACAGTGTAACTGCATTAATAGAACAATCAGCACCAAGACAGGAAAAAAAAAAGACATAGAGCTCTAGCGCATCCTGGCCAGCCTTCCGATGCAGGGGCTGCAGGCACCACTGTCCGAGAACCACTGCTCTACCTAGTGTTCCTGCCACATGACGTTTCGGATGGACCGCTGGACGCTTCTACTCCTACATTTTTGGCATTGCTCTTGCTGTTTTTACTTTACTTTTCTCCAACTTTAAAAATAATTCATTTCAAACTTACTGAAAAGTTGAGGTAAAAGTGCAACACGCTTGCTGGCTGGGTGTTTTTATATTCCCTTAAACCTTTTCAAAGCAACACGTCCAGTTCCCGCAACACAGCATTTCTCAGAACGAACAGGGCCGAGCCCTCAACGTGGTGTCATAAAACGAGCTATGAGGCAAGTGCAGGTTCATTCAAATCTCAGGGCTTCCTATTCAAATATCCCTGGGAAATGGATACCTTAATTCTTTCTCACTGGGTCACTGCTCTCAACAACTGTGGCTGTCATACTTCCCTGACCATCTACCTGTGCTGAAAGCTGAGAGCACTTCCAATTAGAAGGAAAAATCAACAGAGAGATAGTATCTTATTTGTTCAATGTGTTCACTGACACAAAATCTAGGAACTCGGGAGGCTGTAATTCAGGAAGAAGATTCACTTTTTAGTTTGTGACCTGAATGTTTTACCTTGGACTTCTGGTTCCTTTGAGATATAAAAACGTTCACAAAAGGCTTATGAAAAACGTGTGTCTCCATGCACACAGCAGCACATGGATAATGCACTTATAAAGCAAGCAGGGCATGAGGACTCAAGAGACCTGGTTTCTAGCTTTGGCTCTGGACAGTAAGTAACTGACATGACTTTGAAGAAGTTTTCCATGCTCTAGTTTTCCCATGTGTAGAATGGAAGACTAGTAACTGATCTATGGCATAGGATTGCTTTGAGGACCGGAGCAGATTAATGGGAGCTACACAAATGAAAGGTGCTATTATTCAAGTTCAACTGTTTACCTGTCCGAAAGTCAAAGCTTTCAGGCTGGCTGAGACCATCTATGATGATCTGTAAGGTGTGGACTGTTGTTTGTAGTCGTTCTGCAATTTTCTCTACTCCTTCCTGTTCAACGAATGATTTTACTTTTTGCTGCATCTCAGGCTTTCCAATCGCACACAGTGTTCCTCCAAGGAACGATAAAAACCTGCAGGGGGAAAAAAGATGCCCAACACATTAATAATATTACCTATTTTCTAATTTCCTTAAACAGTTCACCCGAATATTCAGTCATCTCAATCTACCAATTTTTATTTATTAGAAATCTACTATGTATCCCATGATGTAACAGAAAGATGATCTTGGGAAAAAGAGGGGGAAGAGATGGATTTAGGTTCTTGTGCTACTTTCCAATGACGTACCTGCTCAGAGTCAGCATCAGATACATTTTATAGCGTAAGGTTCATTCAAGATTCCTGTCATACGTCTTTCCTAAATAAGGACACGTACATTTCCCCATGTTTCCTAAAATTTCAGTTAGGAAAATGTATTTGAAGTTAAATTATTTTTTTATCAACAATGAATTAATGATACAAAATACCCAACAAGCACTGCCAGTGTCTGACGAATGAATTGCTCGAGCCACGCACTGCATCGCTGTTTTTTACCTTTGGGTGCCCATGATGAAGGTGTTACCTGGGCAGGCACACTATCGGCTTAACCATTCTCAAATTGCATCAACAGTCAAGCCTCACATGGTCTAATTTAAATCCAGTATATTAAGTATATTCAGCATCAGCAGGAAAAAAATACAGCAGGGGCTATCAAAAAGAAAAACTAAATTTCTTCCAAAATGGAAGTGATGAAAGCAAGTAAGACTGCAATTGCATAAGCTTAGGATCTATATTATTTTTATAAGCTTTATACATATATAGCTGCAATATTTACAAAATACAAGTATCTGCCTTTCTCAATTTCCCTTTGCTATGTTTACCATTTCCCTTGTTTGAACAGCTATCTCACAATTACTTAGCTTTTGTGGTTCAGTATTAAGGTGATTAAGAAAAAACCAATTAAAGGGGTAAGATGTGTTTTCCTTCCATTTCATCTGAAGATTGGGCTGCAGCTCACTTTCTTGATATTCCTTGGCTGGGTATTTTTCTACATCATTAAGGTTCATTTCCTATGATTAATGGCACTTTAAAAATGTCAGCACAGTAATCAGACAGTGATACTAATGCCCTCAAATCTATCTGTTCCTCTAAGGATGTCTCTGGAATACAACAAGGGAAAAAGGAAAGTGTTGGAGGCTTGTCTGTGAACAGAATTGGGATGTATCCCTTTTGGCAGGTTGCTGCATCATCACGAAAGGAATGCCTGTGATTTCCAGTCTCTTTTGCATTGTTGTGTCCAACCGGAAAAGGCTTCTTCAGTGACAAGCCAGTGCTGATAACTGGTATCTGGTGGAGGAAGCTCTCTCACCTCTCAGTTAACCATCGTGTCTCTTTGGGTTAAAATGTGCAACTCTCCTTCATTTCCATAGCTATATTTTTGGTCAAAAACGGATTCTCCAAAATCTAAATAATTCTCTTGAGAATATATTTTGGTTAATGGTCTAATGAAAAGACCAAGGAGTTGGTGCCTGGTCTCCTTTTTTGGAAATGAGCTTCCATCCAAACTGGTGGCCAGTGAGACACACACTACTAGTCTGTGTGTCCGTGGCTTCCCTAGCCCACCACACAGGCGGCCAGTGTCTGTTAGTGCTGATGGATGGGCCGTAGCACAGAAGGGCCCTGGTGACAGGGAACAGCTGCCGAAGCTTTGACTGACGGGGCAGGTGGTACGTGACAGCCTCTGCCCACAGCCGACTTCCTCGCTCGGCTTTCTAAATAGTGGGCGCCCCGCTGAGCAGGCCTCCCTGGTATTTACCCTGCTGCCTTGACTGGTCTGCTACTGGCTATTTAGCAGAACATCTTTCAAATCCCCAAGACTCCGGCCTACAATCAGCTGTTAAAGTGCCAAAAGAGTGTATTTGTGGGCTATAAGTCTATAATTCCAAATGGTATTTTATAATGAATAAAAGTAACGATATGGCGGAGACTTCCGAAAGCACTGTGCAAGTCCCGGTCTCAACAACAAAAACACGCTCAGGAGGCTTAAGGTTGTGTGTGTAACTAACTGCTCCCAAAGTCACTTCCGTACAAAGAATTCAGTTTGTAGTAGCTGCAGATGTAAAAAGAAGATTGGTCTGTTTAACCTGAACGCATAGTTTGTACATCATTTTCATTCTCCCACACATAAGCCTGAAGGAACTGGTAACTGAAATCAATGAAAAAGGACCAAGCCGTGCTCCTAATTAATGCTTCACACTGATCAAACCTATTTTAAAATGACTATGGAACAAAGTCAAATGCTTTTTAATTGTGAAAACTTAAGTTACAACCAGGTTGCAGGAAAAGGAAAATAGCGCACCAAAGGGGAGAGGGACTACAAAGCAAACTGGGAACAGCATTCAGATTCACCTCTACCTTATTGGATTTCAAATGCATTTGACTGTGAATGATAGGAAATAATGTTTTACACTCTGTAGCTGCTCAAACGTGTGTTCTTTAAATACCCTAAAAAAAAACTCATTCAACATATTCTGAATTTTCACCGTAGAACTGAGAGTGATAAGCAATATCCAATACAAACTTTCATTTCAGAATTAAGTATAATAAGTAATATTCAAAACAAAGTACTTTCTGGCTCAAAAGTACCGTATAAAAATACATTGTACTGTGCGATGCTTGGACACAGAATGGCCGTGCACACGGACTGCGCAGTGCCAGATCATGCTCGCGCTTGGTGGAGCCTCTCCGTCAACCCTGACAGTAACCCTGAAAAGCAGGTGTCATTTTATATAGAAAAGGAACGTTGAGGTTCAGGGAGGTTAAATACTTTTCCCAAGGCCACGCAGCAATTTTCACTAACTGGAGTTTCATGCAATACACAGCAGTGTCTGTCTTTTATAACTGCAGTTATGTCAAAGATTAAATTGCAATATTTAGTCAAGATATAAATCATAATACTTTTGGTAACATTTCACCAACACAATTTAATGGCAGATTGCTTTTAAACATCAGACAGTTAACACTGATAAATCCCACAAAGAAGTTCCACAAATCTATTTAAGTAGACAATTCTCTCAAAAGTCAACGAGCTATTGAAGTCATAATCTCATTTTCTCCTCTGTCTCTGGAAGGTCTTTCCAGTTTGCTATGGACTGCTGTCTGAGCTGCTGTTTTTATTTAATATGTAATTTCACCCATCTTACTTAAAGTAAGAAAGTAGCATAAGTGCAACAAATAAGCACATCATGTCCTTTTAGTGAGCATCTGCACAAAGTTAGATACAGAACTTGCTGTAGAGATCACGCTTGTTTTTCAAACAGAACGCTATATAACCTAAAATCGCTGATGTCTTCAACAGAAACTCAATACAAATGCACTCCAAGTCTTTGTAAGATCTTTTCCTGAAAAATAAATTCTCAAAATTCATAAGAGTTCAGATACAGCCATTCAGTTTTATGTAATCATTTCCAGCATGGAGAAGCAAATTTAGGATCCCAGGACTTGGTTCTTTAAGCAACATGATACAACACCATCACTTTAAAAACAACTTAATGTTAGCCCACATGTGTGGGCCAAACACACAGGATTCATACCTCTACAAGAGCCATGCTCCGAGGGCAAAGATCTCATTGCCATCCACTCTTAACACTTTTAAGAGAGACTTCTGTCCTTGTTTATTTTTATCCATTAGTTTTGTGCAGCTTTAAAGTAATTATATCAATAAACTAAACATTAAATGGCAAGAACAGTCATTTGAGAAATAAATAGGTACAGAGAGATAAAGCAGGTCACATGTAATACAGGCAGACGCTCGGTGAGGTATAACAAGAGCTTATACTCTAGGAGAAAACCTGTCTTTAACTCGATTGTAGATTACGCGGTGGGATGCAAATGAAAATTCAGTAATAGTTTGTTACACTAAAACCAAAGATACTTTATATTTTTAAGTCTGTTGTACTTAATATTAAAGACTGACTATAAATTCCAACATGGCAAAAGAGAAAAACCTGCTGCTGCTTTTACCCCATCCACGGGGACCTGAGTTCACACAGGTGAGCAGGCAGCGGCACACATTTAGTTAAAGAGAGCACTGGCCTGAAGGAGCGCACCTGCTGTTCCAGCAGTCAGATCAAAGGGACAGCAGGGTGAACTGCGCAGCAGCCATCCCCAGTGAGTCTTTTCAAACTTCTAACCTCTTTATTACACTGAGACCCTGAACTGGGCCAGAATCCTTACAAATCTTAGCTGGTGCAACATCCAAGAGCAATGGTAAATTCAATAGAGCGCATTGAGGGAGGGGCCCCCAGAACCACCTACTGTGCAGTAGAAGTTGGTAGGTAAGTGAGGATAATATTTAAATGGCTTTTCTTAGCACATAATCAACCACAGAAAGTTACAGTGAGTCAGTTTTCACAAGACCTTACAGCTGACTGGCTTTTAAAAATTTACATACAGAAGACAAACTTTTAAAAATTGTAACCCTTTCTGCCCTGGCCAGTGTAGCTCAGTTGGTTGGCGTGTTGTCCCATACACCGAAAGGTTGGGGGCTGGATTCCTGGTCAGGGCACATATCTAGGCTGTGAGTTCAATCCCCGACTGAGATGAGTATGGGAGGCAACCAATCGATGTTTCTCTCTACGTTGATATTTCTCTTCCCCCTTCCTCTCTCTCTAAAATCAATAAATATATTTCCAAAAATTTTTTTAAAAATTAAAAATTAAAAAAAAATATGTAACCCTCTCAGAAAGCGTAATAGGGTTGTTCTAAAAGTCCTTACAGATTTTGATCTTTGAGTATAGTTTTAAATGGTATGCAGCTCCCCAGGCAGCAGTGGGGGCAATTTCAGCATCACTGGCTTGGCACGATTTGGAGTCCTCGGGGCACCTCCTGCATCTATCAACAGTTGCGGGGGGGGGGGGGGCCGAGAGGAACTGTAAAGGATAAACTACTGCAGAATAAGGACTGTACTCTGTCTTCCAAACAGTGTATAAGGATCAGACTGTTATGTGCTTCTAACTTCAGAAGAACTTACTAAATGTTTCCTTCTTTTGGGAAGGTCTGTTATACATGTATAGAAACTGGATACTTGATGCAT